CAATTGTGTGAGGAACCTCCACATTATTGTCCAAGGGGACGGGGGTTTTTATTGGCCTGACAATATAACCAGCCTCAGGAGATGACCATCATCGATAAAGCCGATTTCCTAGCCTCCCTTGCAGTTAGGAGTGGCCATGTTACCCATTTCTGGCCCGTGTGAACTTAGCAGGTCTGCTGGGGAGTTTCTGGGAGAGATTTTGCTCCCCACCCAATCTCCTGCCATGGGAGAGGAGGCCATGACTCTGAAGCTGGAGGAGCCATCTGTGCCCATGAGGCAACAAACGCAAACATAAAAGACAACCATCCTGAGGATGTCAGCAAAGGATGGAAGGCATGTTCTTAATGTCTTCATTCTCCTACAACAAGAAGACTGAGGTAGATGACTGCTGGCTTGTCAAGTCAATGCTTACTGTTCAAGCCACTGTTGTTGGGTATTCTGTTACTTGCATCCAAATTTCTAAGCTATGTAGATATAGATATGCTGAAAGAGAAAATAAAGTCTCTATCTTCCCTACAGATATAGCTGCCATTAAACTGTTCATGTTGGTATACATTTTCCCAAGTATTTTACACATATATTAGTACATATACATAACCACAATTAAGTATAAAATTAATGGGCTGGTAGAATAAATACATTCTGTTCTATAGCCTGCCTCTTTTACTTAACAAAATACCATGGTATATTTCTATGTCATTTTTTTAATGACTCCGTCTTCTAGTGCTAGACCTTTAGGATATATTCAATATTTCACCATTATCAGCAATGCTGAAATAATTATCCCTGAACATACATTTGTGTGCACTTGCCTGATTGTTTACTTTGGGTCATTATTGGACATGGGCAAAGGGTATGCACATATAAGTGTTGACACATCTATCTTTTACTGAGGGGCTAGTCTGGGGGCCCATTTATGCTTAACAGACAGATACCTTGGCGGAGCTTTTAGTCGGTGGGGAGACTGACAGTGGAACAGGTGAACAAACAGGAGGTGGTTACAAATTGTGATGAGTGATAAGCAGAGAATGAACTGATGCGGTAGGAAAACATCAGGGACCTACTTAGATGACCAGTGAAGGCTTCCAAAGGAGGTGACATTGATGCTGAGAGTTAAGGATGAGAGGGCCCAGACGCTGTAAAGATGGAGAGGAGGAGCGCTCCAGGTGAAATCCCCAGGGAGGACAGAGCTTTGATGTTTAAGGATCTCAAAGCAAACCCGTGGGTCTAGAGCAGCTGAGATGAAGGTGGAGGGTCAGGCAAGGTCCAGACACCATGAGCTCTTGTAGGTCACGCTGGAGCATTTGAATGTTATGAAAAGCCATGGAGGGCTTTAAGCAAGTGAGTGCCTTGTTGCATTTTATTATCTTTTTAAAATGATCATTCTGGTTGCTATTTTCCATTGTTTGGCTGGAGGCAAAACCAGGAGACCAGTAAAGAAATTATTGAAGTGGTCTAGGCAAGAGAATATAGCTTGGAGTTGGGTATTAAGAGTACAGATATAGGTCAGTGAATAAAAACAAAGCATTTATAAACAGGGAATTTAATATATGATAAAAGTGTGTATTTCTACACACAATACTGCTGTACCATATCAAAATGTAAAGTTTACATTATATTTTGTATTCATTATTATTATTATTGTAGTGTTATCATAATAATAATATAATTAGTCAATTTCAAAAAAAAATTCCTGGATTTCCCCCCATATTTATTTATCAAGATAAGTTTGAAAATAATTGTCATGTTCCATTGTACCCAAGCCCCCCAAATCATGTTGGTTCTATGATTTGGATTAAATTTATGAATTGAGTGGGGAAGAGATGACATCTTTGCAATATTGAGACTTCCTGCACAGAGATTTGTTACACTTTTCCATTTATTAAGGACTTCTTGTATGTCTTTATGTAAGCTTTTATAGTTTCTTTCTGTGCCTTACTATTTCTTGCTAAGTTTATGCCTAGGTATTTTATAGTATTCATTGCTAATGCAAATATATATATATATATATATATGTATATATATGTATATATATGTATATATATGTATATATATGTATATATATGTATATATATATAAGTATATAAGTATATATATAATATATAAGTAATATATAAGTATATATATAAGTAATATATAAGTATATATATAAGTATATATATATATATACACACATATATACTTTTTGAGTAGAAATTACTGGTATTTAGTGTTTTATTGAGGGGTTCCTATAAGTAATACTTTGCTCTCTCCTTTTAGTTTGGAAGAAACTGAGGCATAGTTATAGGAAAGAGACATAGGAAATGAAAATACTCCTTTTATTACTAATAAAGCTGACTGGAAACCGTAGCATTTGAACTGTAGCTAAGTGGGGCTCTCTGTATTTCCCCCTGAACTGGATAGATTTACTTCTATAGTAGCAGGCATTACTGGGCAACACTATCTCTCCACCCCAGGAACTTACTACACAGTGGAGAGTACATGAAAATATTTGCTTCACGCCATCAGACAATGCCAAAAAGAGACCTCAGAAGCATCTATTCTTGTCTGATTCCTTCTCCCAAACTCACGAATCAGACAATCATTCATCCTCCCCAGGGTGGAGAAAGGCGAAGTTCTTCAATATGGAGAAGAAGGCTTTTCCCTTAGTATTTAGGAAAGCCATTGGTTTTGATAACCTTGGCTTACCTGATAACTGGCCACTTTACCAAAACCTCTAAAATTTTTAGTTAATTCTCTTCAATTTTTATGTATGCACTTACATCATGAAGAAATAATGACAATTTTGTCTCTTCCTTTCCAATATTTGTATTTCCTATTTAGTTTTCTTATTTTATTGCATTGGCTACAGTTTTTAGCAGTTACAGCAGGCATCCTTGTTTTGATTTTTACTTAAATGAGAATACCTTTAGTGTTTCACCATTAGAATGTTTATTGATGGCTGTTGATAAATAAACTTTGTCATGCTAAGATGTTTAAATTTTCTCCCTAGTTTACTAAGAGGTTTTTAAAAATTTATAAGTAGTTGAAGTTTATTCAATATTTTTAAAGCATCTATCCTGTTGATAAGATCCTGTGATTTTTTTTTTCTTTAACAATGCAATGAATTTACAGATTTCCTAATATTGAATTATCCTTGTATTTTTGGAATAAATCTTGTTTGTTCTTGGTGGGTTCTTATTTGTTTTTCAGCAAGCTGGATTTGTAAAACTACTGAATAAAATTGCTAAAATTTTACTCAGTAGTTTTACAACTACTATATACTGAAGTGGGTTGGTCTATAGCAGTGATTTACAGACTGATCAGTAAACTTCTGGTCCTGGCTCAGATGAGTTTAAGAAATGCCAGGTTAAACAGGTTTCTTCACTCCTGTGTCTCACATAGACCTTCATATACTAATTCTTATTGTGGTTCTCCAAAAAGTAGACTATAAATGGTATGCACCATTTCCTCAAATTATTTGACTGCCAAAAATATATATTAGCTTCTCAGGGAGCTAGTGTTCTATATAGACCTGCCCTTCTCTTTCCTGGTGTTATCTCTGTTGGATTTGGGTATCGGGTTGTGCTGAACTTGAGAAATGACATTGAAAACTTTTTTTCTTCCCTGTGTAACCGTTTAAATAACGGTTGGGCTGGGTGGGCCAGGTGCCCCTGCAAGTGTGCATTTGTGTGCATGTGGGGGCATGGGTGTGTGAACCGTTATCCAAGGCTCCAGGATAATAGCATAGGGATTGTCTGTCCGTGAATGGTTTGCTGGAATCTGCCTGTGAAACCCTCGGAACCAGTGCCATTGGAGCGACACAGACACCTGCACGGCTTCCCCACGGGACCTCTTCTTCCACAGCCAATTCTGCTTGGCACCCTTTTCTTTAGGATCAGACAGCTGTTTTGGAAAAGCCTAGAATGTGTGAAAATGGGACTTGATGCATTAGCAAATTGATGCAGGTCACTCCTGCATGGGCTCAGCTTCAAATATTCCAGCCTTGTGACCAGAGGCCTTTCAAGTAGCACCCGGCCCCTGCGTGAGGTGCCTTGCTGGGGCTGTGCAGGGCGCCTTTGGCTTGTACCTTTCCCCTAGTGCTGGAGGGTAGGCACCTCTGCTTAAACCCCTCCTGCTAGATCAGGGGTGGGGAACCTTTCTTCCGCCAAGGGCCATACAAAAATTATCACCTTAAAAATCAGCCTGCTATATTTGGTCAAACATTTAACTAACTCACCCCTAATGCCTTGGCAGGGCCAGACCAAATGATTCCGTGGGCCTTACAGGAACCTGTTCTAGATGCTTCCCTGAGGCTGGCTCTGGGCCTGCGTGGGTAAATCATTTGCCCAGCGTATGGGCATGTGGACAATTGCTAGGAGATGGGGGTCTGTTTGGAGGCCTGGGATGAACCGTGGGCTCTGGGGTCTGACGAAGCTTGCGTTGGGTCAGGTGGGGCAGTAGGGTGCCCGGAACTGGAGTGAGCTGAGCCAAGAACTGGCCTGGGTTTCTAAAGCCTAGAAGGGCTGGGTGGGCCAGGTGCCCGTGTGTGTGTGTGTGTGTGTGTGTGTGTGTGTGTGTGTGTGTGTGTATGTGGGGGCGCGGGGGTGCGGAGTGCGGGGGGGTGCGGTGTGCGCACGGTTCTCCAAGGCTCCAGGAGGCCGGGGGCTCAGGGGGAGGAGGCAGCGCGCTGGCTGGTCTAGGGCACCGCCAGGCCTAGGGGAGCCCGGCGGCTGGGGGTCCGCGGCGAGGCCAGCGTGGGGGAGGGGCCGCCGGGTCCCGGGCTCCGCGAGGCCGGGCTCCTGGGGGTCGGGGCTGCACAGGGGCCGCCTGCAGGCGGGGGGCGGCCGGGCGGCGGGGAGGCGGGGTGGCGGCGCGGGCTCCGGACGCGAGTCCCCGGCTTCCCACTCCCCGCTCCCGCCCGAGCCAGCCTGGGGCGCCGCCGGGAGGCCCGCAGCCCGGCCCGCGCGGGGAGCGCCGCCGCCGTGGTCGCCGCCGCCAGGCCGCGCCCCGCCCCCGCCCCCGCCGCTGCCGGGGAGGCTCGCGCTCGAGCTGCGGCGCCGGCCCCGCCGCCTGGGCCCCGGCCCGGCCCCTCCCGCGCCGCCCGGGCGATGAGAAGCTGCTTCTGCGTGAGACGGAGCCGGGACCCGCCGCCGCCCCAGCGGGGAACAGTTAAGTGAGGCCGCGCGGCCGGGCGGCGGGGGCTGGGCGAGCCGGCCCTGCGGCCCCGGCGGGCGGGCGGGCGGGCGGGCGGGCGCGGGCCCCGGGCCGAGGGGCGGGCGGGCGGGCGGAGCGACGCACGGAGGCCTGCGGGCTCGGTGCCCGGCCCGCGCGCTCGGTGCCCGGCCCGCGCGGGGACAGGCCCTGCGGCCGCTGCCCGGCCCTGCGCCGCGGCTTCCCGTGCGCTCGGCCTTCAGCGCGCAGGCGGCGGGAGCTCGGGACCGAGGGGCGCGGCGCCCAGGGCCGGGCAGGGCGCCTCCCGGGAGCCGGGCCGGCGGGAGGGAGGGGAGGCGGCTCACCTGTGCCCGGGCCCGGGCCCCGCCTGCGGACCGCGGTCTGACCGGCCCGGCCTCGGGTCCAGCTCCCTGGAGTCACGTGGGTGCAGCCCTGCTCGCACCTGAGCCTCGGGCGGCGGGCGGCGTCTGGGGTGTGGCCTCCTCTGACCCGGGCACCCGGGAGCCAGGGCACCTGTCTGCAAGATGAGTGCCGGGCCTGGGCGCCGGAGACCCGGGGTGCTCACCCTGATGAGCACCCCACGGGCGCTCCAGCTCAAGTGAGGCTCCAGGGCTATGGCCTAGCGCCAGGGGCGGGGGACACCAGGTCCCCCAGACAGGCAGACCCCTGAGCATCTTTGTCCTCTTTGTTTCCAACACATCACTTTCCCCAAATCAACGCGGTGACCCTGTGCTCCCTGCCCCTCGGCAGCCTCTTCAGCCGGGCGTGGGGCAGAAGGCAAACGGCCGTTGCCCCTTCTCCGCTCCCGCCCCCCTCAAGAAGCAGCGCCCACTCCGATTTTTCTGCCACAAAAGCAGACAGCAGGCCGGTGCCTCCTCAGCGGCCTTTGTCTCTGGTGGTTCCTTCTCAGTAGAATCTCATTGTGCATTTGCCGACAGCTGGCTGGGTCTCATCTCGTTTTAACGGGGCTCGGACATCTTATCAGCTGCACCAGAGAAGCCTGAGAAAAGTCAGGAGATAAGCCCCGCGGACGCCCAGACTAACTGGAAGCCTCCGCGCGCCCGGGAGGGGAGCGCCCGGGGATGCGTGACCCCTCTCCTGCCCTCCAGAAATCGTGCCCGGCGCCCTGGGACGCGGTGCCACACATAGAATATTTCAATGGGGCCTCCGAGAGACAGGGCCTCTGCTGGGACCTGGGCCCCCGGACCCAGGTGACGCCGCTGACATGGCAATTACGGGTTCACTTGAGCCTAGAAGCGTCTTCGCTCGTCCACATGTTTCATCCCTTCCTTCCAGCTTCTTGGCCACACTCCTGATGGATGCTGAAGGCATGTTCCCTGCCCTGCCTGCATCCAGCTGGTGCGCTCCCCCCACTCCAGCTGCAATCGTGCGCCGTGCATGTTAGGTGCAAGGTGCTATTTTGAAATAGGCCCCGTTGGAAACCTTGGCTTTCCTACTCGCTGGGTGTTCTTGGGCAAATTCGTGAACTCTTCTGAGCCGCAGTTGCCTCGCCTGTAGAGTGAGGATGGTGATGCTCGTTCTCTCTCACAAGATTAGGGTGAGAATTAAATGAGATGTGACAAGAGACGCGCTTAGCTTCATGCCTGCCGCAGGTCAATAAAGGTTAGTGGATATTATCAAGGGTTTGTTAACTGATTAATCAGAAGGGTAGCTTCATTTTTTTTTTTTTTTTTTTTTTGGAATGCCTTTCTAGTTATTATTTAGCTCTTCTCAGGGCAACCTGGAAGGGATGGTAGAGTAGAAAGAACACTGGGCTTGAATTTAGGGGCTTGGATTTGGATTTCCCCGTACCTCCTGGAACTCAGGTGACCCTAGGCCAGTGGTTGGCAAACTCATTAGTCAACAGAGCCAAATGTCAACAGTACAACAATTGAAATTTCTTTTGAGAGCCAAATTTTTTAAACTTAAACTATAGAGGTAGGTATATTATTATTAACTTAATTAGAGTGCTCCTAAGGCTTAGGAAGAGCCACACTCAAGGGGCCAAAGAGCCGCATGTGGCTCGCGAGCTGCAGTTTGCCAATCACGGCTCTAGGCAAGTCATGGAACCTCTCTGAGTCCCTACTTCCTTATTTGATAAAGTGACTTAAGAATAATTCCTACCCCGCCAGGCTGAATGAGCTAATGTACGTGAGTGCATATGACGTTGTGGAGGATGTGGGGTCCTCGATAAATTTAAGTGGGATTTGGGGACAGACCCCAGTTTTGTGGGTCTGCCATTGAAACAATATGCATGTGGGGGGAGTGGCTGTAAGAAAAAGAAATACAAGACTATCTCCCTTTAGTACATTTGACAAAAACTGCATGATCATACGTATTGCGGGATCCCCTATCAGGGTCTTGGAAGGGGTGGGGTTGGGGATATGCTTTGATCTGGGTTTCACAGCAGATCAGCTTCTAGGGCAGTGATGGCAAACCTATGTCACACGTGTCAGAGGTGACACACGAACTCATTTTTTTGGTTGATTTTTCTTTGTTAACTGGCATTTAAATATATAAAATAAATATCAAAAATATAAATCTTTGTTTTACTATGGTTGCAAATATCAAGAAATTTCTGTATGTGACACGGCACCAGAGTTAAGTTAGGGTTTTTCAAAATGCTGACACGCCGAGCTCAGAAGGTTCGCCATCACTGTTCTAGGGCCTCCAAATCCAGACATCCAGGCCTCTTTGCCCTCGCAGGTTGAAGTACTGCATGCTTCATGCCAAAAGAGCGTATCCTTGCCACACTGGAAAGTAATGATGGTGTTGGAGTCAACGTGGGAAGTGTCAGAGGTGCTATTATGATGGTGAAGATCACAAATGACTACATGGCTGGACGTGGTGGGCTGGGAACACTGTGTTTAGCGGGCTGCGGTTGAGCGAGCAGAGTCTCCTTTGCTCGTGAGGCTGTGGGAGGCGAGGCCTGGGTTCCTTGAGGAGCTGCCTCTCCCCCAGGCGGTTCTTGCTCACGCGGAGGCTCTCCCTGGCCGACGTTTCACTGGCCCAGGGGCTCTCCTGGGTCTGTGGTTGCCGGGCTGCCCGCGGGGGTTGTGGTTTCTCTGGATCGTCTGTGCTGTTTGCAGGGGGTTGCCCGCAGCAGATCTCTCCCCAGCTGCTTGGGAAGTAGAGGCACTTGCTGCAGGGTGTGCTTGCCACCAGCTCCTGTTGGGGTCGTCGTGTGGCCATGTGGTTGGTTTACGGGATACACTTGTGGGGAGATGCAGAGCTTGTCTAGGCTGAAATGGGAGAGGCCCGGGCACCTGGATCCCAGGGGTGACATACTGGAGCTTTGTGGGCCACACTTGCCTGAGGTCTGGAGGGCCATCTTGCTGAGCCTGTGGCTAGAGCCAACAACACCAGGTCATCACACACACACACACACACACACACACACACACACTTACTTTAAAAAAACAACAACCAGGATACTGATCAATAAAGCAAAGTGTTCAAAGAATACCCCTTGACCTTCAGGAGAGATATATAGATGAATACATAATGAGCTAAACATCCATAGGATGTTTAGGAAAATGCAGATTCCAGGATGTCAAATCGAGACCCGGAATCAGAATACCTGGGATGGGGCCCCCAAATCTGCATGTTTGAAACAAAGTTCGGGTTGTACTGAGGCTTATTGACATTGAAAACCACAATTCACGATGTGTGTTTTTGTTTGAATTCTCACCTGAGGATATCTTTGTTTATATTTTTTAAGAGAGAGGGCAAGGGAGAGGAAGAAAAACATCGATGTGAGAGACACACATTGATTGGTTACCTCCTGCACACACCCCAACCTGGGATTGAACCCGCAACCGAGGTATATGCTCTGACCAAGAATCAAACCCGTAACCTTTCCATATCTGGGAAGATGCTCCAACCAACTGAGCACACCAGCCAGGGCTATAGATGCGTTTTTTAAAAAGTTGTAAAATATACATAACATAAAATTTGCCATCCTAATCATTTTTTAAAAATCTTTTTTCACAGTTTATTTATTTTTTAAATTGATTTCAGCAAGGAAGGGAGAGATAGAAACATCAATGATGAGAATCATTGATCCACACCGGGGATCGAGCCTGCAACTCAGACATGTGCCCCTGGCTGGAATCGAACTCAGGACCCTTTAATCCACAGGCCAACGCTCTATCCACTGAGCCAAACCAGCTAGGGCGATCTTAATCACTTTTAACTGTACAGATCAGTGGCATTAAGTACATTCATGTTGTGCAGCTAATCTCTGGAACTTTTTCATCTTGAGAAACTGAAACTCTATACTCTTGAAATAACTCTCATTTTCTCCTCCTCCAGCCCCAGGCAACTACCATTCTACTTTCTATTTCTATGAATTTGACTACTGAATGCCTCATATAAGTATTTAAACTTTTGTGACTGGTTTATTTCACTTAACATAACGTCTTAAGGGTCATTCATATCGTAGCATGTGTCACAATTTCCTCTTTTTTAACACTGAATAAATACTGCGTTGTATGGATATACCACATTTTGCTTATCCATTCCTTTGTCCTGGACACTTGGGTTGCTGTCACCTTTTTGCTTTTGTGAATAGTGTCACTAGGAACATGGATGTACAAATATCTCTTCGAGACCACGCTTTCAATTCTTTGGGTATATCCCCAGTGTAATTGCCAGATCACATAGAAATTCTATTAAAATTTTTTGAGGAATCACCATACTGTTTTCCCCAACAGCTGCATTTTCATTTCCACCAACAGTGTACCAGGGTTCTCATTTCTCCACATCCTTGCCAACACCGATTTGTTGGTTTTTGATACTAGCCCTCCTTATTGATATGAGGAGATACCTCATTGTGCCCTTGGTTTGCATTTCCCTACTGATTAGTGATGTTGGACATCCTTTCATGTGCTTGCTGGCCATTGTATGTCACCTTTGAAGAAATGTTTAGTCCGGTCCTTTGCCTGGTTTTTCATTTAATCATTTCAGGGTTTTTGTTGTTGTTGTTATTATTGTT